CGAAGCGCCAAAATGAGGCGCTCGAGGGCCCGATTCAGGGTCGTCTGGGGAGCCTCGGCGCACGCTCCCATGACGTCCCCTGCGGCCACTTCGGCGGAGCTTGCGCCCTGCTCGAGCGCCATAAGGAGGCACTCGAGGGCCCGATGCAGGGTCCTCTGGGGAGCCTCGGCGCAAGCTCCCCTGACGTCATCTGCGGCCACCTCGGCGGAGCCTGCGCCCTCATCGAGACTGGCCAACCCCAGGGGCGGCAGGATGCTCGGGGAGAGAGCAGCGGGCGGCTGCGTCGAGGCGCCACTGCCCCGCCTGTTCCCCCAAGCCGCTACTAGGGCGGAGGCAGGAACCAGAGCGCAGGTCTGGACGCGTTGAGGGGGCCCAGGGGCCCTGGCCAAGATGGCCTCGACGGTCGGCGCCTGCAGGCCCAGGCGCGCCGCTTCGTCGGCGGACAGGTGAGGGAAGTTCAGACGCGGAACGCGGGAATCCGAGATAGGGGACAGTGGGGCCGCACTCCCCTGAGTCAGAGTGGGCAAGGGCTGCTCGACGGCCTCGGAAGCCGTGCGCCGCGCTGCGAAGGCTGCAGCCGCGGCGCTCCCGGGGTCGCCGCTGTGGGTGCCGCTGGGATGCAGCTCGCGCCCCGAGCCCCGGCCAGGCGCGAGGCCGCTCGAAGACCCCCGTTCCTCGGCGGCACGCCCTCCGCCCTGCGGGGCCGCAGCAGCATCGCTGGAGGAACGCGTGCCCACCGAGGACGGGGGGGCCTGAGCAGCGGGGCCCGCGCGGTAGCTGCCTGCGTGGGCGCCGCCCGAGCTCGCACCCTGGCGGGGCGCGGCCTGCCGAGGCGCCGTAGCTGGGCTCGGGCGCCGCTTCGGAGCGACCCGAGGGGCGCGCGCCTCGCGACGCCGAGGCGACGTCACCTGTCGCGAGGGCGCGCGGGGGGAGCCGCGGGCGTCCCTGGAGCGCGACGCCTCTCGCCTGTCTGAAGGGCGAGGGGGCGGAGGCGGCGGCGGGAGCAAGGGCCGCGGAGGCTCGGAGCCTACGCGCGGACCGCGGCCCCGAGAGCGGCTGCGAGCCGAGGCGCGAGCGGCGGGCGGGGAGCCCCCCGAGCGGCGAGGAGGGTGCCCCCTGTTACCGCGCTGCTGCCTGCCCCCGTGGCTGCGGGGAGAACCCCTCCTGCTGCCGGAGCGCTCATGAGAGCGGGAGCGCTCGTCGCGGGGTCCTCGTTCAGCCGAGCCACCAGGGAAAACCGTCTGCAGGCGGCGGAGGACCTCGGGGTTCATGCCCGCCACGACGCGCTCAAGGTCCATCGAAGAGTCCGCGAGGGCGCTCAGAGAGGCGAGCGCGCCCTCTTGCAGAAGGGCGTCGTCGGAGTCGAACGCCTCGTCCTCGTCGCACGCGGGCTCCGCTCTCGAACGGCTGCGAACGCTCGCGGGCGGTGACCCGTCGGGCGAGCGCGGGGGGCACCTCGGGGCTCTGGCGTGGGGGCCCTCCGGTGCCACTCCCGCGGGCGGTTCCGACGGCTCCTCGGGCGAGAGCGGGCCGTCGACGGGAGGCGAAGAGCCGCCCCCCGAGGGAGAGGTGTGGTCCCTCCCGTACGGGTTTGGAGACCGCGTACGGCCGCGGGCAGCGCTGGGGCTCCGCTGTGGGGAGCCCACTCCCGCGGCGGAGCTGGGGCGTGCCACGCCTGCCCAGCGGCGCGCATTGGCTGTGCGACGCGCCCTGCGGCCAGGCGCCGTGGCGGCTCCCCCCTCAGGGGCGGGGAGCGCCGCCATCGAAGCCCGCCGTTGCCTGGCGGCGCGCCTGGCGCGCGCGGCGCCCGTGCGCGAGGCGGAGTGCGGCGCGTGACCACCGCGGTTGGGCTGGTCCTCGACCGCCTCATCCCGCGGGCCCGGGCGGGCGCGGACTGCGCGCCGCTCACGGAGGCTGAAGCGGGGCGCAGGGTCGTCGGCGGGCCGCGCCAGGGCGCGCGGATCCTCGGCCTCCACCTCGGCCAAGGAGCGGCCAGTAGACGACGCGGGTGCGTCCCCACCGCGAGCGGCGCGCTCCTCGTTGGCGAGGCCCGTCTTGACCTCAGCGTTGTGCAGGACGGCACGCGTGTTCTGCGGGAGGGGCCCCTCGGCGGGCGCCCTGGCCAACGGCCTCGGCCCAAGCGGAAGCCTGGACGGCTGGCTCGCCTGCGGAGGCGCGAGCACGGCGGACGCCGACTGATGCGCCGCCGCCTTCAGCAGCAGGGACTTCGCGTCGCACAAGTCCTTCCACCGCTGGACGCGGGCGACCGCTTCGGCAGCTGTCAACCCCGCGGGTGCCTTGTCGGGACGGCACGGGACCGAGAGGCGCCGGAACGAGCCCTCGATCGCGTCCCTGTGGGCGCCCTCCGCGACCCCGAGCACTTGGCGGGCTCGGCCCAGGCGGGCGGCGCGCTGGAAGGCGTGAGGTGTCGCGGCCTCGCGGCCCGTCGGGAAGTCGCGCCCAACTGTGCGAGCTTGGCCACCCCCGACGGCAGGCTGGGGGGCCGACCGCGTCTTGGGACGCGCGTCGGGGGCCGACGAGAGCGCGGGGGGAGCAACAAGGCGGGCTGCCCCCTCCGCGCAGCTGCCGGGACCCTCGTCGCGCGGCTGGAACAGCGCGTTCCGCGGCCCCACACGGGGGCCGAGCGCCTCAGCGGGCGCCCCGTCAGCGCTGCAGGCGCCAGGGGCTCCGGCAGTTGGCCCCTCGGCGTCGTCTGCAGCGGCGGTCAGCCCCACGCCCGCCGCGAGGGGGGAACAGGCCGCCCCATTGTGGCCCACGGGGCTGTCGAGGAGCCCTCGAGACAGCAGCAACGCGACAAGGCGTCCCCACAGACATGTGGGATAAGGTGCACGGGAGTCCGCGTATGCGACACAATCAAACCTGGTGAAGTCTCCCGCTTCGGCTTCAACCAGCCAGGACGGTGGAGGTATAGAAGGGGGCCTGACGGGGCGATTCCTGGTAGGATCGTCTGCTCGATGCACATCCGTTGGCACGTATAACCCTCCCATATAAAGACCTCCCCCGATCACATAAGGCAAAGTGGTGGAAAGAACGTGGGACAACCCAGGGGAGCTGCTACGCCCGTGAGCGGACGCCCCCAGGGCCACCTTCGAGTCCAGAAGAACTGGAATACGGGAGTCTGGGATCCGAATACAGCAGTACTTGCAAAGACTCTTATAAACGGTGGTCTCGAGGATGTTGATGTGACGCGGCATGCGGAACTCCCATTTATACGCCAAGCGAAAGCGAATCGCCTCCGAGAGCTCGGTTACCCAGCGCGGCGCGACGGGAGGCTCAAGAGAAGGCAGCCCCAGGTCGCGGTGCAGCTGGGTAAGCTCAGGGCCCAAGGATTCGCCGCGGCTCA